TGAGTTGTTTGGCAACAAACTATCAGACTTGTCAGCAGACGATGGCAATGGTGTAATTATGGTGAGACAGCACTACACTGTTATAGTAGAGTATTGCAGAATTAGTCATATTTTGCTATTTTGGGGCCAAAAAAATAATTAACACACATTTCTGACATCCATACACACAGCTAACGCAGTCCCCCCCCAAAAAAAGTTTTCAAATAAGTCAAAGTGCAACACTAGGCACCACTGTTCCCTCTAAACTGTGCGCATGCGCGCACAGATCCTAAACCCCGTGCACATGGCGAAACACCACGCACACAAAAATTTGCACAGAAGCAATTTTTTGTGCACACAGCCTGTCAAAAATTAGAGGTAACACTGGTAGGAACCCTTGCTAGTCCAACCCAGACAATACTTCATTTATTTTCTGCTACTACTCTAGACCTGAAAGTCAGGACACAGATACAGTTTCCCTCACTTTATTTTACTTTGTGTCAATCTTATTTTTGCTTAAAACTCTTCATCTTTTACCTGCAATAGAGCCCTGCAGTGTGACTTGGATCCCGTAAGTCCTGGAGGACCCACTGCCATAGGAGCAGGTAAAATGTACCTTCTTGTGAACAGAAAAAAAAAAATACCGCATACACTGTGGTAATTTGCAGGAAAACACAATCTCTCGGTTTGTCATAAATAGAATTTCAGCAATGTAAAGCAAGTTTTTCTTTTTTTAAAATAAAGGTTTTAATATTTAAATTTAAGCAAGGCATAGAAAGATTTGATGTCTATTATAACAGGAGTTAAAGTTGTTGTTTTTTTAACATGTTTAAGCAAGATTTATTTTATTCTTTTAGTGGTAAAATTTGTGTCTGAATTCTATTTATTTATATATACACACAATATATTAACTGACCATTCTGGGGCTTGTTGTTTGTAGTAGCATGGGGGAATCTGTCCCATTGCAGAATCTAGGTTTTTGCAGGTGGGAGTGGGATAAAAATGCAGGAAACAATGCAGGAGCAAGTGGGAACGGGTATTGCAGGGCAGGACAGGAGCAGGATTAAAAAAAATAATCCCACACAGAGCTCTAATCTAGGACACCTTTACTTCACTGGGGCTAAACAGAGCAGAGAGGTCATTTTAAGTGTAACAACATCTCTTCATATCACACCCAACTAACTGCTCAGCTGCGAAAGACTATATTGTGTGATTTTAAGATTTAACAAGAATCTTTCCCATAACAGACAATCAAACTGCGCTTTCCTGGCCACTGTAGAAATACAATTCTAGGTTTTGAGGCAAGACTAGAAAAAGTAAATCACCTGTACAACAGCTGTTCGCTGATGACAGCAAGTCATAAGAAATGTGTAAGCAGGTCTGTTTAATGATGGTTGGTCTCCTGGCTAGGAGAGCACAACATGAAATAAGCAGTGGAGATAAAAATCCAAATCTTTGAATTCTTCCCAAATCTATATCAGGAAGAAACTTCCTAATAGTGAGATTTTGAGTCTACTTTAAAGTCTTTTTAGGGAAATGGAAGAAACCCCACCACCACCACACACAGACTATAGACATTTACAAGGAAGTTTACCTTAAAACACTGGAAGAAACTGAAAGCAGCAGTCCTAGACTGGAAATTAGGAAAAGAGGAGGTGTGCTATATGACCTATAATGTCTAGGTTTCTGAAACACAGGATTAGCATGAGGGACACCCAGTTATCAAAATACTAACACTTGCCTTCATAAGGCAGAAAATAGTTAAGACTGAAATGGAAATCTGATGTTTCTATTTAAAGGAAATTTTAAAACCTTAAAAAAGCCTCACATGAAGGAAAAGAGGAAACTAAGCATGGTTTTCCTTTTTTTTTTTTTTTTTAAACTGGAGGACAAGCTTAGGTAGCACACACCCTCAGCTAGAAGTATTTCTGTATCACAGCATATTCATCCTGGCAAACAAACAAAGGATTAAAGTGACCCACATTTCTGTTTATGCCCCAAGATTGTTTTAGACCCTGAAACCAGATAAAGAAATAACTATCGGACAAAGCACTTGACTTCTAACTTTGTCCCATGTGGGGATCACCACCACATAAAATACCAAAAAAGAAACGAAGGTGCTCCCATTGCTCCCCTTTTACTATTCTGAACTGTTGTCGAGTACACACAGCATCTTGGAATTCACAAGCAAATAAATACAGCTGTTCAGAAATGTCCTTTCATTATAGGTCATCAGATGCTATACAGCTTGGCAGCTCACCTGCGTTTTTATTATGTGTGGCTTTTTTTTTTTTTTTTTTTTTAAGACCAACATCAATGTTTCATTAGCTTTAAATGAAAATAGCACTATACAGAGCAAAGCTTTCTAGAAAATGTTTTATATGGATCTCTTTCAAAAAAGTTCCATGTAGCTCAGCAGCTGCATTGGCTGGTGTATTACCTGGTTAATGGCTTAACATACATTATTTTGAAAGGAACATGCCCAAGATATTTTAACACAAAATAATTTTATTGTGAAACCAAAGGTTTAGTGAACATTCCAGACAATACTCCACCCCCTCCCACACACAGCATGCTCAATTTTGATATTTGGTGGTGAAACATCAGGATCTGGGTTAAAGTGGTACAGATTACACCAAAGAACTGAAATAAGCAACATACACAAAGAGATGGTTATATAGTTGGATTACTTAGTAATTCAACTAAAACAAAGTATCAAGATGAAGCCCTAGCAGCAACTTATCTTACACTCATGTATACTAGGAAAGAAGCAACAGGCCAGCACAAGGAACAGTCATTCATACACTAAAGGCCTCCTCTGTAGTGTAAATCAACAGTTGGAGGCAGCTTCCTGTACAAGAAGAGCTTCCCCAGATGCGCAGTGCACTTCAAAACCACACTGTTTTGGGGGAATTTAGAGTCCTCATTATAATGCAAGCTAATGAGATGAAATCCACATACAGAGCAACTTAAAACAAATGTCAGCAGTGAATCAAGACATTTTTTCAGAGGTTCAGTATGAAGAAGTGTGCTAAGCAAGTGGATTCAGTATGTTAATCTATATTATCTAATGAACTGAACGAGCCACAAGGGTGAATCCTTAAAGTCCAGATGCAAAGCAAGCAGAAGCCTTAATTTTATGATCAACAACACAGGCATTTAAATCCTGGGTTCCACCACAAAATCTTCATTCAAGACCCAGCCTGCTAAGCAAAGTCTCCCTGAAGTGATATAGATATTCTCATTAAGAAAGTACAAATTGTTCCTTCTTTCAAGGATTTTTCTCCTCTTCTACTGTGTGAAGTTTTTGACTCAATCATAAGGATTTTTTCCTTCAGAAGGGGCAAGGTATACACAAAGATCCAAAGGAATCATCAGAAAGACATGTGTCCCCACCACTTATGAGATAAAATAACGATTCACTCAAGTGATACTTGTCGGTCACACTAGAACCATGAAAAATGCAAGTTTGTAATCATAGTCATACTAAAGGCTAATTCATTGTGACTGATTCTTCTTGTCTTATGTAGTCATATACTCCTGTACACAGTGAGCATAAAATGCTACCATTGGTGCGACTAGACATTTCTGATTTGATAGCATTTTACATCCTTTTTTCACTTGGATAAGTCATTATACAAGGTGTAAAAAAAAAAAAATGGTGAATCAGGTCCTCTTTTTCTATCTTTTTCTATCTAGATTTGATCAGTGCTCAGGAAACCAAACAAACTACACTGCATTCCACAACTTCAGCGTGACCTGCATGACACAAAAGGTTTTGTTTGTTTGTTATAAATAAAATAAAATAAAATAAATAAAAGCATTAAACAGCTCACTGATACTTCCAACATGCCAGATTTTACCCTTGGAGAATTCACTTCCAAATCCCAAAGGCAAGTTAAAGACAACTTTCTGACTACTGCTTTTGGCTGTGACTTCAATCAACCATCTATAAATGGGTCCTGGTGAATACTCCTCCAAGCCATTTATCTTACATAATAAAGTGACGTTAAATATGCACATAACTGGAAAGGTACCCAATTAATGCCAAGAGGCATCTTGAAAGGAGCTCAGGATAATAGTTTTATGATGGACTTTGGGTACAGTTTAGAAACTTTACTTTTTTATGAAGACACTGGGTCACTTTTTAAAAGTTGTTCTGCTACACTGCATTTCCCTGTTCCTTGGCCCCATCATACAGACCACCTTAAAGAGCCCAGAACAAATTAACCACCACTATACTGATGCACATAAAATATTATTTTACAGTGCACAGTCACAACCAATAGTGCTAGTGAGAAGAGAGAGGCTATCCTTCTGAAAATCAAGCCATTTTTAAATGGGTGGAGTGGGATCACTGTATTGGCCAATATTAGCTCAAATCCAGCAGAAAAAGTGGCAAATAACGAGCTGCCTTTTTAGTACCACTTCACTTAGTTCTTTGCAGTGTGGTGTACCATTAATGGATGTCACTATTTTGAAAAGCAGAAAGCGTCTAGTTAGTAAGAACCGTCTTTATCAACCAACTAGAACCGCTGACCAGTGCCTGACAGCTTCCATCTCCCTTCTTGTTCACTTCCAATACAATTATGAAAACAGTCACAGAACAAGTACGACCCAGGTTGCTCCTGCAGAGACAACTATAGAGTCAATTTGCCAGAACCACAAATAACCAGGCTACCTGGAGCACAATTCTAAGCTGCTAAAACATCTGTGATTCTTCTAAATGGAAGTTACTCCTGTCCCTTCCATATCCGTTGCTGGCCGCTTCTGCATGCGCTGTCAATGCAGGAGGATGGCAGGCAGGGCAGGACTACCCAACCACCAAGTTTCAGTAGGGACTGCACAGGGACCTAGCAATGTAAGACTACCTCCTGCCAGTATGGGCCACGATTCCAACGCTAGAAAGGTTGGAGGGTTCCTCTCCTCTCCCAGCCTGGACAGGGAAGTAGCTGGGCCAGCTGGGCACGCTCTCGTCCACCCCGACCTCGGGGCCCGCTCGGGAACGAGCTGCTCCTTACCGCGATCAAGGTGCTGCTGCGGCCGTGCTGCTCGCTGCTCGCGGCATCAGTGTCGAGGCCGTTGGCTCCGGTCCTGTCGGCGTTGCCCGCAACCCCAGCAGGAGGAGGAGGAGGAGCGGCGGGCGGCGGCGGCGGCGCCGGGGGAGGCTGGCGGTGCTTCCCGGCCCGCTTGGCCTTGGCCTGCAGGCAGCGCTGGTGCAAAGCGAAGGTCTGTTGGCGCTCCAGCTCCAGGCGCTCTGGGGACACGGCCTGGTAGCGGGACTCGCAGGCGCTGTGGTGCCGCCGGCACAGCTCTATGCGCCGGCGGAGCCGCTCCATCACCGCGCTGTGCCGCGGCACCACGAACTCCGCCATGGGGCAGGGGGGCAGCACCATGGGCCGGGGACCGAGGGGGCCGCCGCCGTTCACCGGCTCCTCACGCCGACCCCACCATGGCCAGGACACCGACGGGGGAGAGACCGGGGCTCCCCTCGGACCCTATCCGAGCAGCCCTCAGGCCTCGCCCCCTCCCACTCGGGTTCCCCTCAGGCCTCGCCCACCCCCCACTTCCTTCTCTCTCGGGCCCGGCCCGGCCCGACTCCGTTCCCCGCACCCCACTTCCTCCTTCGGCCCGCCGCCGCCCCCGCCTCCTCAGTCCTGCCCGGCCGGAGCCCGCTCCACTTCCCCTCAGGCGCGGCGGCCGCCCCGCTCAGGCCCAAGCCCCCGACTCCCCATTGTTAGCTGCGCGGCCGCCATCTTGAAATTGCTTTTCCCCTTAAGAGCCGAGTTCAGAATAAATAGGCGGAGCTTCCTGGGTGGTGTCTGACGTCACGTGTACGTAAGTGCGTCGCTGGAGATGATGGACAATTTCTCATGCCCACCGGATTGGTGGAGCGGAGAGCAAGGGATGTGGCCTAATGAGGACGCTTGTAGGCAGTGCCCCTAACCGCGTTTAAAAGGCATCGAGGAAGAGGCGGGGGCGGCTTGGAAACAGCGAATGAGGAGAAGTGAAGGGAGGGGTTATGTGTGATTGACAGGTTAGACCCTCCTTCTCCAGCCAGTAGAGGAGGGGAAGACAGGAGGGCGCGTTATCCCCTCCCCCGCCCTGCAAGGGGCCTGATGAATGAAGAATTAAAGACTAGAATGAGTGGGTTTGAGCCTGGCACAAGGAACGAGAGCTTGTGAGACTATACATTTGGTTGACAAGAGGTAATAGGGGTACAGTAATACTCATACTTTTATAAAGCATTTGTCTTCGTACTACAGGACTGTTTAAAAAAAACTAGAATATAAAATTAAGCTGGTATGCATTAAATGGGTCAGGGGAGATGGGGAGGAGAGAAGAGGAGCTATGAGCCGGAGATCCACGGTATGATGAATGGGCAAGTCAACCTTCAGGTGCCACATCTTGAGGTTGCGAAAGTGAAGACGAGCAAAGGCAGTGAGATATATGTGCACAAGGCCATGTGACCTAGAAGGCAGAGGTAAGTCCTGGCCCTGACTGACGTCATCAGTTCTTGCAGAGTTAGAGGTCTTGCACAGTCATGGGAGGTAGGCTCGAGGCATGACCGAGTTGATAGGAGCCCTTACAAAGTGGAGGCGTTGTGTAAGTTTGATACTGACCCCTACAGAAGAAAGGAAGTCCAGTAACAGAGCTTCTTGTCTGGACTGTTCTGCCAGAAGCCAGTTGTGGAGATGTGGGAATACAACTACTCCATAACATCTTATGCGAGCTGCCACCGAGAAACCCCTGGTGAACACAGTGGGAGCGATGGTGAGTCCAAAGGGGAAAATTCTGTACTGGAAATGTTGTGAGCTGACCCTAAACCTGAGGAACCGTCTGTAGGCCAGATGAACACCTATGTGAAAGTAGGCATCCTGCATATCAAGAGCTGTAAAGCACATGCCTTTTTCTAATGAGGGGATGATTTCAGATAGTAACACTCGCAGCAATCTTAGCTTTAGGATGAATAGACTGAGAAAACAAAAAGGTCCATGATAGCCAAGAAAAAGGGCAGATGGACCAAGAAAAAGGGCAGATGGAGACCTATCAGGAAGTAAGCTGAATAGAACCCAGTTCCTCAATATTCCAGAGGGACATACTACAGAGAGGAGCAAGACAGCAAGGAGCATACCTCTTGGGTGAGGATGCTGTTGTGAGATTGATCCCAGGAGAGGGATCAGGATTAGGGGCTGTGGATGAGGTAGTGTGCTGACCTATCTTATAGCCATGGTGAATGACTTTAGCACTCATCTGTTATTGCACTCCAAGCTGAAAAGAATACAGATGACTCCTGAAAGGGGTGGGGTGCTTGTATGCAGTAGGCATCGTGGTTGACTGCTCTCTAAGAGTTTTTCAGAAATATTGGTTCTCTGGTAGTTGCACCTGGGAGGAGGAAGAATGCAAAGGTGGTCCCGGAGGGTGTGATCTGTGAGTTTTCTGATGCTTGTGTGGCAGTTCATATGGCCTCTGAGGAAGAGCTGCTTGGTCCTGTAGCATTGTGTAGGTGGGTAGTAGAACTGGAACTTCCATGCAGGCATGTAAATACCCAGGGAATGCACTGTAGCTCTGGAATCTTTGAGGGTGTGCAAGGAATAGTTTTTTGGTTAAAAGATGGGATTTGTTGAAAGGCAGATCTCAGGTAATACTTTGTACCTCCCTGTGGAAATCAGAGGTGTGGAGCCACAATTCCTGCCACAAGCTATACCCATGGCTCCAGTTTCCACGTCAATCAGCTGAGGATGCAGCGAAGTCCTCACCACCAGTTTACCCTCTTCTATGATTACTTGGAGTAGGTGTACACACAGCTGGTGTGTGCCAAACTATCCTGGGCAGCTCGAGTAGAGTGTTGTTGATGAGTAGCTCAACTTTACCCGGTGCCAATGAATAAAGGATGTCCAGGAGCTGGTGTTGGGTATCCTGTACCTCCTCCAGTGGGATGTAAAGCTCCCCTGCCACCCTCCTTCGGAGATCCTGAAACTGGCAGAAGTCACCAGGGAGCGAAGAGGACACCGAAGCAAGTGCCACATCCAGAGGGGAAGACTGAAACCTCTGTCTTGCTCTGTTGTTACCATCAGAACCAGGCTGAGCAGCTATTCTTCTATCAGCGGTTCTGAGCATGTGCTGGAAGGCACGCAGAACAGGGAAACTGGAGATTTCTCCCTTGCCGAATGTGTGGGTTCCGATGATGAGGATTGTGGCCATGGTCCCCAATAGGGCCAGCATGACTGATCCGGAGGGTGCTGAGAATGACCCCCATGGCGTGGGAAACCAATGGCTCTGAAGCAGCTGCAGCTGAGGATATAGTGCCATGGTGTAGATTGCTTCCTTTAGTAGTCCTGATGGCAGTATGTGATGGATAGACCATGCCCCTTATCTGACTCATCTGAAGATGAGAACTCTTAAACAAGTTCTATAGGTGGCACCACTGGAAGCATGTGGATTGCTGGAGTGGGAGGTGAATGATAGGCCAAGTGTAGCATGTCCATAGGGGAAGGTACAATCTCCTAGAAGTGGAAGGTCTAGACAGGCATGGAGAGGTTAGGTCTCCCAGCGCAAACACGTCCTGGGGATCTGGTGCCCTCCCCAGTCTCCCAGGAGCTAAGGGCACTCTTCATACTTAGTACTGATGCCAAAGTGGTGGACTTCCCCACAGTGGAAAGGTATCTTATGGGGCGCTAATGCTGTTGGCATCAGCAGTTCCATCCCTGGTACCAACAGATCAATTCTCCTGTGGGACCTCTTCTCATGCTTATGGGGCTTGGCACATGCTCTCTCACCATGACTGGAGGAAGTGGAAGGAGAGTCTCCTTTCTTGGTCTTGGAGGAATGCTTATGATCGTGCTTCCTTGCCTCTTGACTAGGCCCCAGCACAGGATCCATAGTGGTGGTACTGCTGGTCCTGGACTCTGATTCCGTAGCAGCCAGGGCACTCGACTGTCTCAGGCTGATGTACAGGAAGGTTCCCCAGCCTGGATCCAGGGCCTCATGGCAACTTCCGTGAGATGTTTCTTTAGGTGGAGAATCAACCTTCAGGTACAGCTTACACCTGGATGCAACATGGCCCTCTCCCAAGCAGTAGAGGCAGTGAGGGATCTTCGGCACAATACCTGCATATGGGCACACAGACAAAAGACAGGCCCCCACGCAATTCTACTCTAAAGCGATTAAAGACTACTTAATAAAATAGTAAAATAAAAACAGTAAAAATCTGTTTAAAAACAGTAAAAATCTGTTTAAAAAAAGACTATATACAAGTTTAAGAAAGTGTGTCACAAGCAAATGGACACCACTCACTCTGACCTGGACCATGGGGCAGTGAGAAGGAACGGGAGATGCAGTCGGTCCACCCTAGCCCTTATGACTAAACCACAGGGGAGTTCAGGGCACATGAGCAGACCAATGGACACTACTACTTTTAAATTCTCTGGCTCCAGATGCATGATGTACATGTATAAACCCTCAGTAGAATACAACAGGGACCATCACTTGAACTGTACATATGAAAGAATATTGCTGCATTAAACATGAACTCAGTTGTAAGCAAGTTGTTAGTTTGTGTAGGAGAAATATGCAAGTATAGCTAGTTAAGTGCATGTGCAGCAAGGTAGAGAGATGAGGTTCTACCACTCTCCAAGTCCAGGGCTTGCAGTAGTCCAAACCCCCCTGCTTATTAAAATGGAATGAGACCGCAGGCTCTGACTATTAAAAAGCAGAATCAGTCAACAAGGTTGGAACATCCTAAATGCACACCACAAGGGGCACATCAGTATTTTTAACAGATTTCCAGAGATACCGAATCCTTGGATTCGGTGTATTAGCTAGCTTTAAACAATTTACACTCCAAAGATTTTACTTTTACCATCTTGAAAAGATCAATTTACAGACTTCATTTAAATGTTTAGGATTCACAGCTTTTAGCAATGAAGGCAACCTTTAAAGCAGAGCTGGCAGATATCATGGGCTGCCTACGCCCTGCAGTTAGAGCATAAATAAAATCTGAGTGTTTTATTTATAATAAAAAACCCCACAAGACAAGACTAGTTTACTTGCATGATCCAGTGCTAAAAATGGTTAAACAAATCCAAAGCTTTTGGACCCATCATAGCTACTGGCTTCATTATAACACTACATTTACTACCTCTTCTAATCATACTGTGGGCCTGTAATAAATCTCATCTGGCATTCAGCTCCAATAGCTACCCCTTTCACCAGGTGTTCTGTAGAACCTGCTGAAGGCACCGTGGCCCTTTGCTTGGTTGTTAGAGTAGCCATTAAGCAAGGCTGCAGCTCCCCTTCACCTTGATACTGAAATCCCAGAGATTAAAGCCTTTAGCTATTTTTTAGCCAATTAGACAAAGAAAACTGTATAGATTTAAGTTTCTTTATTAATCAGAGTAAACTTACATTTATAACTTATCCAATATATTTATATATGCATACTGCATCTACAATTATCCTTTTTCAAACAGACAGGACTTTTCTGTGAGAGAAGTCACAGTTCTCATTTAGCAACACTTGAGGATTTTGCTTTTGAAACCATTTATGGAGGCAATACTGGCATTTAGAGAAGTGCATATGGGGATGGCAGAGGGGTGCAGAGAAACTGGTCACTAGCACCATGTTTGCTGCCACAGGTTGAGTGGAGCCATATGTAGAGGAGATAAAACTTGTTTACCAGTAATGAGTATTTGTAAGAATACCCTCTCCATCCCAGAGATCCAAATCTTAGACATTGTCAAATACATTTAAAAATCCACATTCTCAAGTTCTGTTAATTCACTGGATAACCAAACACTCTGAAAGGCCAGTTTACATCCCCACTTACATTTTACTAAGAAAATATTAGTAAGTTTGCTATGTTTCCTTTACCTCCTTTCACTGATCACAATTCCAAGACAACTATTTTTCAGTATTTCCAAAATACTCTTTACTATTTCAGATATTAAAAATGCCAAGTGAACAGTCTGACACTCAAATCTATGGTAGAGAGTCTTTTGGCTCTGTAGAACCAGTTATCTAACACAACATTTCTTCATTTAAAAAGGGGAGAGAATTCAGGTTTTACTATATAAGGCCAAAGACCACCCTTTATAAGAGGTCCATTTACCACTGCACTTTATGTGCAGTCGAACTCCCTTACACTTACTAAAATACAGACTTCTTTCCGAGTACTTTTAAGAGTCACTAACTGTTCCAAGTCACAGGTGGGAGACAACTGGAGCTTCAGGTATTCAGAAAATACTGTTAGCCTTAATAAATATATTCTCTTTTTACCTGGAAGTGGACAGCTAACAATGACAACCCTTTTAATGAAGCTGGCATCATATTCTTTTATCTATTCAAAAGAGGCTTGCAGTTTAACACTGGAGGCAAAGTTAGATGCCATGACAAAAATCTTAAAAACTGAAGTTTTTCTATCCATTGTGGAGATTCACCATTTAATATAGTGACTATTCAAAATTTACACTATGGTACCAAAGAAAGTCATCACATGCCAACAGGAGACCCTTTCAAAGAGGTCCAGTAGAAGCAAAAAGACTTGAACACTCAGCTTTAATGCAATACCATTTAATAACTGATGTCTGAAAAGCGTTTCAGAATTTCACCTCTAGTAGTATTTTGGAAGAGTGTGTGTGTATAGGAGAAAGGTACTGGAAATTAAGGCAGTTTGTACATGAAGATAAAAACAGCATTAACTGAAGTGCATTAAAATAGGTTTGTAAATTGTGCCCGAGATGGTAGCTGACCACCAGAGGCCATCTACACTATTTTTATCTGGGAGGAACTAAGTCATGAATAGTACCGCTCCTCTATAAAAGCCATCTTGAGAGCCAAGAAGAATTAAATTAAAAGCAGTGCCTATAAAACATGACAGCTTCCAACAGCAAAGCAGAAGCTATTTTGGAGAGGGAAAGATGCAGTGTTTAAAAAGTGTTTGGAGAGGGGTCAGATTTCTAGAAGTAAGTCGTTCTAAACAGAAGTCTAAACTTACCATGTTCTATTTGCACACTACAGAGTGGTCAAGCAATCCTGCTATGCATTTACAGCCACTGGTATTTAAAAAAAAAAAAAAACACCACAACAACAACTCTCTTGGTTAAGGACAGGCAGCCGGAGTTTTTGTTTTTAAATGTTAGACATTGGTAAGATGGTTTTAAAAAATTGGGGTAATTGCTCTTCACTTTCTACTGTACCCGAAACAAAAACACAAATGGAACATGGGAGTGTTTCTATTCAGTCCAAGGAGAGCAATTTAGGACATTTAAAGTTATTTTGAACAAAGAGGGCAAAAAGCTAGTCTATGTAGACATTAACCTTCCCTCTCTAATACATTTTGGTACACTAATGAAAGCATCAGAGTTTACCCTCTTAGAGGTATGCTCTGGTGGTGGTCATTTGCATTCCACAACGAAACAAAAAAACTTTAGAACAGTATAGTATACTAGACATGACATTTTAAAACAAAATTTATTTAGCTGGATTTGGAACCCCCCTATATTCACAATATAATTTAGAATGCAACTGTTACATGAAGAGCAGATGAAAGACTCAAATGGTTACACATACCAGGTAGGTTATTCCACATGCTCCTTCCCCATCTAAAAATACTGACATCTTTGCTTCTGATATGAGTCTTTAGGTCAACCTGCCTATTCTTTTCCCACCTCCCTGTCTCTGTGCAGGCGTTTACATACAGCGGTAACAATAAGGAGATTAGGGACACTGTCGTATCCAGTGTTTGGACCCTGGAAAGAAGTATGTGTAGCTTAAACAAAAGCACCCCTTTGCCCCACCAAAAAAAAAAAAAAGAAAAAAGAAAAAAGAGCCACCTATAAAAGTTTGATTGTGAGCCAAGCACAAAGTAATCTTCAGCAATGGAGGCCAACCTACACTCTGAAGAATCTGCATAGTAGCAGAGAAAGCTAGGGCCGGAGGAAGGGAAAAGTGTGTATAATTTATTTTTTTAAACCCAAACACCCACTGCCCTATTGAGAAAAGCTCAAGAACTAAAGAAATCAGACATCCGGCCTCTGTGAGTCTTGCAAGGCTAAGTACCATAGTAAAACCTACCCCCACTACCTTAGGCCAATTGTGAACACTTAACTGGGCAACAGCCATGGGCAACACTTATTTCATGGCCTACCTATGCTTCTCCCTCAACAAATAAATGAGAGGGCTTTCTTGGGAACGTTAACACATCTTAGTTATATAGTTTCTTTACATGGACTTTAACTTCCTTCCCACCCCTAATTTCCTTATTTGAGAGGATTTAAAAAAAGAGTCAATGTAGCCACTGACAACTGACATGATGACCAAATTTAAGGGATACACAGGCATTGCCAGGAATTTCCATGTTTATAAAAAAAAATAAAGTTATAAAAACTGCATTTCATCAACTAACATTTTTCTAGATTTGTTATTTTTCATTGATCGATTAATACATTAAATTAAGCTAAGGTTGAGAGACTGGCAAAGTTCTACCAATCTATTTAAAAACAAAAATAAAAGGTTAGTTTTGTTACATTTCAAAATCCACAGCCCATTACATTAAATGCATCTTTCTACAGGAATGATGTTCTCTTTAAACAGATGATTGCAAATATTTTACTGCTAGACACTCAGTTACATTGGATAGTGTGACTGGAACCTGCGGATGGTGAAGTCTTGAGGTTTGTCTGAGTTTCAACATAAGGTATCCAAGGTCCTCTCCCAGAACCATGTGGGGGGGAAAAATAATCATAGATGAAGTTCTTACGATTTTTTCAATCTATTCATGCTTTCTTCCTCCTGCAGTATTAAAAGAAAGTGAAAGTGTGTAAAAAAAAAAAAAAAGTCTGGTCTTCTCTTCTGATTTTGCTATTAAGGTTAGTAAATACTCTACAACTGTTAATTCATAAATTAGCTTCAAACTACTGCAATGCTACACTGCAAACAGAATGAACTTTTCACAAAAACAACAATTAGCAAACCTTCCACTTGTTTTTTTCCCGCTGGAACTGCTGACATACTAGCCCACTTTTCAGGGCTTATGCACAGTATTTACTCTGAGGTTTAGATGAACTGTGATCTTTTGTTTTCACAATTAAAGTTCTCCTTAAAATTTGGTTCTTATACCGTGATGCGTTCTAAGAGGCAAATGCTTTGCTACCATGAATGCATGCACACCAAATTCCCTGTAACTACAGCAGAAAGTTTGTGTCCTCATTTCTTGGCTTACTGGTTTTATGCTTGTACACTTGTCTTTTACTGTGATTGTGCCAACCACAATTGCTTGTTCTCTACAGGGCAGCTACTTACTAGCAGACTTCCAATTTCTGCAGGCTGCTGCCATTATTCCAGCCCACCTCTTTGCAATCTTAAAGGATAAGTTACACTATTCTACCGATGAGATATTTGGGTACCAATGTAGCTTTCAGTCAGCTATTAAATACAAGTACTTGAAAAATCCATTACAGCAGTAGGAATCCTTGCTGGTTGCCTGAGTAGAGCAGCAAGATAGTTGAGGGCAAGATTTTCCAGAGTGTTCAATAGAGTTAACTACTCCCACTGAAGTCAGTGGGAGTCTTACCATAGATTCGGTACACACCACACCTACCATATGGTAGCGGTCAGGCCAATATGGAGTGCTTTTGAAAAAGCCACCCAAACACACTGTATAGAAAGGCTCAACTATTCTTTCACCTCTAGAAAAGGTCCCTCCCAAAACAGGAATGAAGCATATTGGTAGGGTAGTGCTTTGCTGCTGCTCTGTATAAATTGGAGGATTTCATTCCACATACACACGCTAGTCCAGGGTTCTCAAACCGGGGGTCAGGACCCCTCAGGGGGTCACGAGGTTATTACATGGGGGGGGTGTCACAAGCTGCCAGCCTCTACCCCAAATCCTGCTTTGCTTCCAACATTTATAATGGTGTTAAATATATTAAAAAGTGTTTTTCATTTATAAGGGGTCGCACTCAGAAGCTTGCTGTGTGAAAGGGGTCACCATACAAAAGTGTGAGAACCACTGCGCTAGTCATTCTGGTATGGTTTAAAATTGCAAAGATTTAAGGACCAATATTGGATCATCTTGTCCATCCCAGTGCCATTACTACAGATTACTGGATTCTGTACTAGCCAAATCATGAACACCTCAGAAAATTGCACCCCATGAGTACTGGGGCTCCCTGCATAATAGAGCCCACCTCCTGAACCTGGTCCTTCAGTTCCCCTGTGCAGGCTCTATCTGGCAGAAGAAGTCAACGTTCCCAGGCTGAAGGGTTGGGAGAGGTACAGATTGTGTCAGTACTCCTTGGGTGTACCCTCTGGCTCCCCGCTTGCAGAGTACCCATGCCCTTCACAGCAGAGGAAGGTAACTGTCAGTTGGTAGCTGTGGCAGTGGATGAGTGAGATGGGCAGGGAGCCTGGCCCCTGCAGTGAAGTCACCCACACAGAGAACTAACGGTTTAACCTGTCAGACAAAGCCACCACCCCTTCATTGCAGCCCTATCAGGTCCTTGCTCCCCCAATAACCTCATCATACTGCTCTTGTTGGGGGCATGCCCCTCCACCCCCAAATTTGGGAAACGGATATATGTAAGTATAAGAGCTTTACAAGTTTACCTATGTTCTCATATCCTACCCATCATTGTAGTAGTGCAGTAACTCTAGGCAAGTGTCCTCTCTTAAGGCTTCTCCAATGTTTTAGGTATCATAGCCCATTAGAACCCATTTTACTATAGAAACTAGTATAGACAAGGACACTGGTGTATCCCCTTTTTTCTGTTTTCATATCTTTAGTCTCAAGTTCTTATATTAGCATCGCCTCAAATTGCAGAGTATCCACCAGAATTTTTTTAGCCACCATCGACTAAGCTCAACTATATTTTTGTCACATTCCAGTGGAGTTGGATCATGTGTTTTAAAAGCTATATAATTAAATACCACTAGTTGACCACCTGCATGATCACCACTTCTACTCACAGAGCACCAAAACGTTGCTTTTACCTCTGATGTGGGTTTTCCATCTTCTTCCTCCTCATCCTCTTCCTCCTCTTGACTAGCACTTCCAACATCAGCATCGCTCTTTTGCTTCTCTTCTAACCAAACAAAATCAAGAATTAAATGAATTTATGTTCTGTTTTCTAGGGAGAAATGATTCACCTTAAGTTCTTCACTGGCTTCAGTCTAGGTCTACCAGTACTCCTGTTCTCACTTTCTACATGAAAGAGTAAACCAATTCCAGGTTCCTACCATATTTCAAGACGCCTCCATTATCCTTACCCAGCTTGTCTTCATTTGATTCCACTTCCTCCTCCTCTTCCTCCTCCTCCTCATCTGCCTTGTCTTTCCCCTCCTCTTTCTCTTCATTCACATCAGGCTGAGGAGCATCAGTCTTTTTGTACTCTGCAGCGTTTGGCTGTTTCTAGAATTTGTCAGAAGAGTCCCGCAATAAACAACTGCCCATTTTCAGGTTCTTGCACAACCCCATTTTGACCTATTTCTAGATATTTCAGAAGGAAATTCATACCTTTCCAGAACAGCAGAAGAGGACAACAAGGAACACAGGTAGAGCCACAGTTAGGATGTATACTACCCACAGCCAGGGACGCTCTTCAGCAGCTGCCATCATCTGGCCCACAACACCAGGCTAGAAGATAAATTGAATCCCGAAGGCTTGTGTATTTAGCTCTCTTACTCCTGTATGCAGCAAGTTTTATGGCTACCCATGGGGACTGATAACTGTCTCCCATCATACCAAGTAGACACAGCCTCATGATATATACAGAATTAGTCTGTATTGCAAAAGCTAATTATTTACTATACTGTAACACCGAGGAGCCCAAAATCATGAACCAGAACAATACCGTGCTTGGCACTGTTCAAGCAAATGGTCCCTGCCCCAAGCTTAGTCTTCTATGAATTATTTTAGTCTTCTGAAGTCATGGAACAATATTTACACAATCTAAAGATTATAAACATGCAACAGTAGGCTATGAGGATGGCCATTTGTCATGGCCATGATTAAAAAGTTATGCTTCCAATAGTAAAAAGACAGGAAAGAGTACGGCATTCGATAAAGGCAGCCATCCCCGCAAAAAAACTATTTTTAAAAATAAGTTACTAAAATACATTACATTTGAACAGGAAAAAATCTTTAAGAGATACTTATGTAGCCTAGTTTTGGTAGAGAAGATTATATCCTTCATTTTGAAAGCTTATATCTGTTCATGTTTGGAAAAAAAAAGTTAAGGACTATCAGCATAGTTTTTTTTGTAAGAGTGAAAGCTAGAGGAGCTTGAAGCTCTTCTAGACAAGTAACAGATACCATTTTTTATTGTTAGAAGTATACAAAAATAAACTTTTGCTCCTCACCTCAGCAGCACCATCAGCTGCCTTTTTTAGACCCCAACCATCATTGGCCCAATCTTCTGCCACGACTTGGTCTGAACAGATGATAAAGTTGTCAAAGAAGATGTCAGAGGTCATTGACCATAATTCAAGGCCCACAGCAGTGAAGGGAGTCATTCTGAAAGGTTCTAGATCTTCAAAGAAATCTGGGTTTGGGATCTTCCTGGGCTTCCAGATTCCCTGGAGAAGGCAAAGAAAACTCAGCATCATACACCACACAAAATCTGTTTTTCTATTTGGGTTGGAAAACTTTGGGGGGGGGGGTGTTTCCCCACACCTGTACCAACAAAAAAGTTTCATTATTGATTACAATGGATAGTCAGTTTAGGTAAATCTTTCTTATGTAAAGAGGTTTACAAACCAACTACAATATTGGAAAAATATTTAGAAGAGCTCCATTCCATCCCCATTTAAACATTCCCTTGCTGCAGCAGCTTGAAGCTTAATTTTTTGGCTTTCATGGATAAGTTGTGACATTTTATTTATTCAAGGGAATAAAAAGTTGAACCTGTCCCCTTAGAGTGCATAAGGATTGAGGTTATGTGATTTGCATTCCTGGCTATGCTATAAGAAGTCTCTTGTCTTTCTGTATTGCTTAGTAAACTGGTATACCCTAAGAGGGAGCAGTGTTCTGATTCTGGCCAGCAAGTTACCTAGAAACATGCGACCTACCTGGTAGTTGGGGTTATCAATCATAGGAGGCTTCCATTTGCCTTTGTAGTTGGGATTGTCAATCATAGGTCGTTGCCAGGTACCACAGCCAGGGGCTGACTCACATTTGGGATTTGCAATCTGAGGTGCCTCCCACTCTCCATCCATATCCTCATCCCTGGAAAAGCAAACTCATTAGAGGAAAGAGTTTGTTCTAGGTCTTTAAAAAAAAAACGGGGAGGGGGGCAGAGGGGTGCCTCCTTACCACTTCTACATTGTAAAATGGGGATGATACTTGACAAAGTAAAGTAAAGAAGTAAAGAGTTCTATGGATGGAAAGCATTGTAAGGGCTAAGCATTAGTCGTATGTTTTAAGAGTAAAGTTATTAGTATTATAACCACACTTAAGAGCCTCAGCCATGGACCAGGATACCACTGTGCCAGAACAAAAAGATGATCCTGCCCCAAAGAGACCACAGAAGGATACAGATGGAGCACAAGGAAACTAGACACTAGCTTTATGTTCTGTTCTTGCTACTCAGACCTGTGTCTTACTCCAGCACAAACACATTGTGCCCCCAAATGACACTCTGCACCCCATATTCACCATAGGGATATAATTATGATTTATCTTGTACAAAATATGTCATGTGAGGTGTCAATGGAAAAGTTATGGTTTGCGGAATATGATTATCCTATTTGTATGCATGTAGGATTTTTGTATCTGGAGTTATGAATATTGACTATGCATCTGTATTTCAAATATGCTTGCTCCTGGGTAACTCCCACAAGTTAGTTTACATTCAGTCTAGCCAGCACATTGGGAGTGGACTATTCAAGATAATGACCCATGGATGAACACAATGGGCCATGGAAAAAGCTTATCCTCACTTGATGGGCTTTCCTGTGGATGCTTCAGCCAATATATGAGTAATGGCTGCTATGACTCAAAGCATGTAAGGGCATGTGACTAAATCATGTGATTCTGGACTCCATCTTGTGCCTGTACTTTTCCACAAACTGCAGGGGAATTTGCTTGGAAGTCAAAACAAAAGTTCCCTCCACATGGAAGAAGCTATAAAAGGGGGAAGTGACATCACCACTGGATCTCACTCCCCCTACAATTCAACATCTGGAAACGCCTTAGGAACAAAGACTGAACTGGGGAATGTCGTCCCAGGCAGGAAAGAAGGAATCCCAGCCTATGTATGAAATATCGGCAAATTGCTTGTACCATCAAAGTGAGATACTGCTTGATTCAAATCCATTGCGATTTTGTTTATTTGTTAGGTAACCAACTTTGATCTGTACACTATAACTCAATCACTTAAAATATAAAAGATTTCTTAACTACAGAGAGATTGTATCTAAAACAGTGTGTCTCAAGTGCAAAAAGGGAAATCTGCTCAAGCGCAGGGGCTGGTGCATTGTCCTCTCCACATTAAGAGAGGGGCGGACTGGGAAATAAACTTACACTGGTCGGGCTTTTGACTAGAGCAAGACAGTAAAGCTCTGGAGTCCTAGGCTGAGGAAGGGGATTGGCTGGAGCCTCTATTGTTAGCTCATGAGTGGCTAGGAAAAGCATTCATGTAACTGCAGCTGAGGGTGTCCCTGTCTATGAATGTTTGTATAAGTGCAGGATCTGGAGGGGTTTGCAGCTTGTCACAGCATCACAGTGAGTGAGGGAGCCCAGGATGATGAGACAGAGGGCTCAGCGGTACCCCAGTTACAGGATGCACCCCGGGGAAGTCCATCATAGCAACACCTTCCCCTACCAGTTTATGTCTGGTCCATGGAAGCTCAAGTGCCCCATTATGCTCCTGAAACCCAGTCAGTGCCTTTGGGTCACAAAGTGAGTATCTGATAAATTGATGCACAGCAATTACTGCTTTCATACAAGATGGACAAATGGAAGCCTAGTGACAGCATACCAGTCCTCTGGTTTCTCTGCATCAGGATCGGCTACATATTCTGGCTCATCATCCAGCCAACCTTCTGGCTTCACAGCATCATCATCTGGAATCTTTGCAGGAGCATCCTCATCCCTTGGGAAAGAGATACAAGGTTGCTATTATATATTCCTTCCAAAAAGATTTGGCAAAAAAAAAACCCACAAGGCTTAAGACACTGTTGTACTAGATACAGATCCTCATCTAGACTGATTCCTAAAACAATGAGTATATGAACAGGACTACCAACTGATCGAGCAATTATGTTTTGAATATGAAAAGGCCAGGTAGTAACTGTTGGAGTTTTTTTTGCTACCCCACCATGCTAGTCAGATGAAGCTCCTATTCCTTTATCTGTCTCAGTGCACATTCCTCCAAACACAATGGAGAGAAGTGGTAACATTTCATGTATCCTCAGAAAGAAGCAGCCTGGGGAAAGCATGTTAATGAGTGAATATGTGATGTATTGTACCCAGTAAAAATGTGTTCCATCTCAGGACCTAATTCTATTACCCCTGAACTTCTAATTATTTACCATGTCATTAGTCAAATTGACAAGGGAACACCAATTAAAATTCAATCATGTTGATTCAGCATTTTATGATGAACATACCCCCTTTTCCAGATCAATTATGGATAACAGTGAAGTGGCAAAGTTTACAGATGATATGAAGTTACAAAGAGTTCAAAGCTAACTGCAAAGAGTTACAACAGGATCTCACAAAACAGGGTGACTGTCCAACAAAATGGCACATTGAATTTAATATTAAGTGTATAACAATCCCAATTATACACACAAAATGGTGGGGTCTAAATTAGCTGTTACCACTGAAGAAAGATTTTTGGAGACATCATGGATGTTTTCAGAAAACATCTGTTCAATGTGCAGTGGCAGTCAAAAAAGGCTAACAATGTTCGGAACCACTAGGAAAGGGATAGATAAAACAGAAATCATAATACCACTGTATAAATCCATGGTACGCCCACATCTTGAATACAGAGAAGGGTAACAAAAATGATCATCGGTATGGAACAGCTTCCATATAAGGAGAGATGAAAAAAACTGGGACTGTTCAGCTTAGAAAAGAGAGAGGATAGAAGTCTATAAAATCATGAATGGGGTGGAGAAAGTAATAAGGAAGTATTATTTATCCCTTCCTAAACACAGGAACCAGGGGTCACAAAATGAAATTCACAGACAGCAGGTTAAAGATAACATAAGTACTTCTTCATAACACGCAGCAAACCTGTGGAACTAGTTGCCAGGGGATGCTGTGAAGGCCAAAAGCATAACTGGGTTCAAAAAGGAGTTAGATAAATTCATAGAGGAGAGGTCCATCTATGGCTATCAGCGGAGATAGTCAAGGATGCAACCCCATGCTCTGGGTGTCCCTGAACCTCTGACTGCCAGTAGATGAATCTCTCAATAACTGCCATGTTAGGTTCATTGCATTTAAAGCATCTGCCACTGGCCACTGTTGGAAGACAAGATTCTAGGCTAGATGAACCTTTGGCCTGACCCTGTATGGCCATTCATGTTCATAACTATCTGGATTGAAGGTGTCAGATTTCTAACTGGCCATTTGACCCCATCACAAGAGCTTTTTTGACAAAATAAGCTCCAAGCATTTCATTATTTTAAGTGTTCCAGCACTTGATCCCATGCTTGATCAGACATCAAATGAAGCACATCTATGGCTAAGCAAGGAACTTCATGTAAATGTTACCTGGCTTGCCAATGTTAATCAGTGCTGAACTTCATTCGGACACTCATTCGAGTGCAAAGGCATAGAATCACAATCTGCAGTCTACCACCAGTCAGATACTATGGTTAGGCTTGGAATAATTAAATTTTTGCAGGTAAATATGTAAACAAATATCAATTTTACCATGTACACAAACTGACAAAAAATTTCAATCAAAATGTACAGACAAAGAAAAATGTTGCTTCAGAACTTCAAGTAAATAAATTAAACTCTGTATTTTGACATGTTGACAATGTGTGTTTTAACAGTTAAAGCATTAACTTTTTGAATCTCAATGTCTATATGTTAAATAGTTGTCTGACCCCCATAATTTCCAAATTGGGAAAATTGAAATAAATTTTTTTTAAAAAAAGCTTTAAAATAATCCTCCCAAATTATAAAAGATAAAAATTGAATTCTGCCAAGCTTAGCTATAGTTTAAACAGAGATAAATAGCTTAACACACAAATGACTGCATGTCCAATGTTAGATTGGTCAACACTAGCCAATTAACTTGGAATACAGGGGACTGAAAAATAAAAATAAAATGGACAAATGACTAGCTAAGAACTGTTTTAGACCAGCACTAGGTTATCTAGCAACAACTTTCCCCAATTCCACCACCCAAGCTACTCACCAATCCTCTGGTTTAACAGCATCTGGGTCTGGAATCTTGGGTCTCTCATCCCAGTCCTCTGGTTTCTGGTCATCTGGGTCCTCAATCTCTCGGGGTGGGTTCACAGCAGGAGTCACATCATTTAGGAGATTCCCACTATTCACCACAGTCTGATCAACCAGGATTTCAAAACTATTATCAGGATTCAAGACTGGAAGAACAGGGACAGGGAGGAAGAGTTAATGGAGCCTTTTTCGTTAACATAAGGAGAAAACTGATCTCTAGAACATCTCACTGCCACTTTCTGCTCTACCACCCTTTTCTAAACCTCAAAACTATAACAATCATCCTTCTAGCTAAAGTTACCTCCACAGCTAAACAATGATGCCCAAATGGGGCTGCTAAAGGGAAACAAATAACCTATTTAGTCTTTTATCAAGGTATAAAGACAAAGATTTTTATGGAAAGTCTTACTCTGGGTACCCAATAGGCTTGCGTATTACACAGCCCTCCCAAATCAATTACATCTGGAAAAAGTTCTGCTCTGTACACACTCACACCTGTTACCCTACTTATAAAGGGGAACCTAGTATAGTGAGATTTATCAGGTTCCTCTTCTGCCCCCTCCACACACACAAAAAAAGATAATCAGGCTTTGCCACTTCTATTTTCTTAACAGTAAGGACATGTACTTTAAAGACTGAGAACTGTAATTCCTTATTTACTTGAAAAGTAACTGTGGAAAAAAACTGCACCACCCTTAATGGATCTGCTCTGTATAAATTCATGGTCCCATCTCTGGCTTTTTGTGAAATTAAAAAGCTTTTTACTCCCTTTAGGCTTGCAGAGGTATCACATGTAAAACTAGCAGAACTGTGGATTCTATTCTGCCCCATCCATCAACCGAATTGTTTAACAAGTTCCCAACTGTCAATGGGGGGGTGGGGGGAAGGTTTGATAAGTTCACCAAAGACATCTTCATTACTGGCAATGAGACATGAAGTTTGAAACTGGGTCTCTCTATCTGGACCAGCAATTAGAGAGTGTCCTTTTTATACTTATATTCATCATGTTTGATAAAGAATTGAAACCAAAACACATTGGACACTGGAATGCGTTACCTAGGGAGGTGGTAGAATCTCCTTCCTTAGAGGTTTTTAAGGTCAGGCTTGACAAAGCCCTGGCTGGGATGATTTAACTGGGAATTGGTCCTGCTTTGAGCAGGGGGTTGGACTAGATGACCTTCTGGGGTCCCTTCCAACCCTGATATTCTATGATTCTATGGACCCCACTATGCTTCTTTTTTTTAAGTCATTTTTCAGACTAGATCCCACACCTGCCCACACTGCTTAGAAAACTCCCCCTTCAGTCAGTCAGCCTCAGAGCACAGCTCCACATTCTATTCTCCACAAAGAAGAAATGCAGAAACAAACTCCGTGTTTAATCTTGCAACCAGTGAGACAGCAGCTCAGTGTTTCTATACTGCTTCCATTCATGCAGTCTGGAGCCTTGTTTCATTACTAGCTGCATATAGATTATGGATAAGTCCCCTCTCTAGCAGCAAAATATCTGGCTGTGCAGTTGTAGCAGTCAGAGCTCCAAAGCCGAAAGCTACCTAGCAGAGCTTAGGCCCAAGCCAAGAGTGTAAGATCTAAGCAGAAGTCAATATTCATATGGCCAATAAGAACATTCAGAATTAGGATAACAGGACTAAGAACTAAACCAAGAGTTCTGAAAGGAGTAACTCCTTCATAGTTAAGGGCATAAGCCAGCCTTCAACAGATGGGTGTTAGGAAGAGACTGTCCCTATAAGGTAAGTTATTCCTAGCGTAGGGCCTCTTGAACATTTCTCTGGGGACTCCGATGATAACCCCTGCTGTAGACAGAATATAGTACCACAACCACTGATCTTATCTAGTGTGGCAATTCTTATGCTCCTATCACTATTTTAACCATGGGTGTGACCAGCCATTCACTTTCCATTGCATTTTCCCTATCTGACTTTATCAGTTCTGAAAACCTCAGTGGTACAGCCAGTGAAAATGAAAGCCAATTAAAATGACTTATGTTGAAATAGTTGCCTGAAAGGAGGGCTTCTAATACTTTGTCCCAGGGAGATGCAGCATTGCTATTTCCTCCAGAGTTTAGAGCTTACCATCCCAAAAAGTTAAAGAATGGATAGGTATGCATACAACTAGAGAACATGTAAGATCCCAGGTCAGTAACAGAATGCATATAATTATACTAAAAGTTAAGAGATTTAAGACCATATTTGGAAAGCCAAATCTCCTTTACCTACTAAGTTCAGAGTCCCATATTTTCCCTGCAAGAGTTAAGACTCAAAGCAGTGCATGCTCCTTGATGAGATTTCTTGCACGGAAGAACAGAACAAAGAATGAACAATTTTCGCATATGGGGATTTAGAATGTATGTTTTAGTTGTATGAAGTCCACATACATGGTATATTCAGTTACTGTTTTAGGACTCCTTTCCATTTCTCTTGCACCAAAACCACAAAATAAATTTTCACTCTAACTTCTTTGAGATCTACACATTTTTTTGAAACACTCGCCCCGCCCCAAGTTTATAGTTGCTTTACCCAGAGTATAGAGGTGGGTCTTCTTATCGGTAAAGTAGGTCTTCAGATCTGCATCTGGACGCTTTGCATGCTTCTCTTCATACTTGCCGGTTTGGGGGTTCTTGTGCCGAAAGATGAAGTGTAATTTATAATCTTCTCCACATTTATCAGGACCAAACATGATTGTGTAGGCAGTTTTGTCATGGAACTGATCCTTTAAAGAGAACGGTTGGAATAAATCATTCTAGAGTTCGGGTTTAGACAAGACAGCGTTCACTGCCAATGCACTTCATTCATTAAGCAGTTTGATTATACTTGGGATCAAAACCAGCAACAGATGGTTGATAGAGTCACAGAAATTTGAAGTGGAAGAAGCCAGTTAGGACAATCCAATCCATCTCCCTACTTGCGCTTTAGATGGGCCCTGCATTTTCCATCATCTTGTCCAACCATCTTTACTTTCCCCTCACTAGTAGAAGGGAGTTTTCAAGAGTGACAGGTAAGATTAAAGCATCAAGCCATAAAGTTGTGCCTAAGTGGGCGCACAGTATGCAAATGTAAAATAACCTGTTAGAATAGCCAGACATCAATTAAAAAAAAATTCCAAATCACAGAAACCCCATAACACAGAAGTTTCATTTTTAAAACAAAGCTATTGTCAACAGCCATTATAAGCACTGAAAGAAACTGAAATCTTAACTGTGTATTTGACATTGCTGTGTCTAGTCAGTCTTACAGTTTCCCTTGTACATTCAGTTTCCCAGTCTGGGTAGTTCTCTCACAATGGGGAACATACAAGGCGTTAGAGTAAATTTAGTTGAAAAACCACAGAAGTTAGTACCACGCACAGGGCTGATGTATTATATGAAGCTCTAAGAATTAACTAGATATCTGTAAACACCATCCCTTTAACAAAAATAGTTGCAAGCAAGCTTGTCTACTCTCACTGACCCTATTCACGCATTCAGTTCACAAAGAACTGAAGAAGTGATTGTACAATCACTAAGTAGCTTTTCACATCTTGAATGGCATATCCTGGTCAGATGTGGATCTGTATCAATATTCAGAAAAAACAGTGAAGGGGAAGGAGAGTTGGGACAACAGTTTTGACTTCTACTTCCATGAGGGGAAGCCTACTGAAAACTGGAGGGCTTTGATTAAAAATATCCAGTAGCTAGACACAAAATCCTCTCAATTTTATCTTTCAGATAATGCTCCTGGAAAAGTGGCCCACGGGCCAGGTACAAGATGTGTTTAGTCCAAGACACTTACTGCACATAGTGCATCCTGCTAGCCCATGCTGCAAGCAGCAAGTCTCTAGTACTTCAGACACCAAGCTCCTTACAAGCAGATTGAAATGCAAGAAGTCTGGTGCAGAGAAATATAATTAGGATCATCTCAGTCTATTTCGCTTTGCAGGCCCTCTGTGGAACACACTTTAGAAGACAACTGTCTAATCCCAGGCAGCTAGCTTCCCTCTGCATAAAGAGTACAGTTTAATTGTGGAACAGCTAAAGGGAAATTTACAAGATAAACGATTTAGTGTGCCCTCTACAGACCTCCCATATGAGATGGCTACTCTTATAGTAAGAGGGAGAGAAAAGAAAGAAAGATATCCCAGAAGTGTGTGGCAGTTAAAAAGAATGTTGTGGATTCTTATGGGGGAGAGGCAGGAATGCTCAGCCCCTACAGCATCCCAGAGTCAATTGTGGTAACCAGATTTTCAGAAGAGTTCAGCAACCATCTGCTCCCACTAAGGACAATACAAGCTGCTGGGTGCAGACTACTTCTGCAAGTCTGCCCCTAAACACGAACAGCTGCCTTCAGTCCATTAGGATCATAAGAGTTTCTTTGGGGAGGAGCAAGAGAAAGACAGGCTTGTCTTTAGGGTGTAGTAACTAAACAGCATGCACACCACTCACCAGGTTCAGCTCGGTGGTTTTAGAAAGCAGCTTCACATAGGCACCACCACACTCAATCCCATTTTGGAAATTCACTTCATACCTGATTTTCATTTGGGGCAGAGAAGCAGAGAGCACATTATAGTACATGGAATAAACTAGACAACATTCCCTTCATATAAGGATGTAATGGAGCTTGCATACAAATTAAAAAGGTTTTTTAAATAAAAGAGTGTTTCCCACATTTCATAATGGATCTTAGGCAGATACATAAGAACCACAAAGTAAATAGCTAGGCAACAGGCAGAATGATTAACTCGTTATCTCATGCAAACTGATGAGCTGATTACCCTCCTTTCTTGCTTGAAAAGTCCAACGTATCAGCTACTCCCAATAAGTCTGGATTCTTGTATATCTGCCATGACCCATCTAAGAATTGTTGCTAAACTGGACACACTGTGTGTCCCATGGCAAAAAAGAGCTGAATCAGTTGAAGACCACTAACAAACTGTTTTTGCCTTCCTACCAGGGAAAAAGGACAATTGGCTGGACAAAAAAAATCTGTTCATTCATGAATTGTCTTTACATTGCCCCTGCTAACTGTTTGACTCTTCTTGTCAATCACAACAGACAAGTCAGTTCACTAGGCCCTTACTATTAGAGCTGCAGCACAGAAGTGGAACCAACTGTAGTTGTCAGTATCACACTGCAAGGAAAAGCTAATTTCCAGAAATTCAGACACAGCTAGTTTATTCAGATGGAAAAAGCAGCATCTCCACCAACTTGAAACAGAAAGTTATTGTACACTACAATATCCCAATTTTATTTTATTGTATTTTATTTTATTTTTTGCACGTAAGAATGGTAGCCAATATTGTGTGTGGTAATGGGCTACCATGCTTTACTACCGTTTGGTCAACAAACTTTACGTAATTCTGGAAAAAGCCGCTAACAGCCATCAGCCCTTTCTGGACAAGTAAACACTTGTTATTTTCCACTTACTGTACAATGAGGGGTTTGGTATCAAATATGAAGGGTTTTGTCAGTTTGGCAGAGATCGCATGATGCTTGGCCCGGGACATCAGTACTAGTCCTTTGTCCCCTGGAAGTTTGGTGTCCTTCATTTCCAATACTTCCCATTTACCTGCAAGGAACACATATCATTTCATTACTATTATAACCCACAATTCCTTGTTTTCTCATTTTAATTAACTTTAAACAAGAAACTAAAAATTGTTATTCTGTACAATATAAAACACCCAAATGCCCACCCACTTTTCATATGCAGGATATTCTCGTGACCATTTAGTCAGGGTAAGATTTGCACCTCAAGTCTAGCTCTGCAGTACAGACAACCAAAAAAATATACCTTCTGAACCAAAGCTAGATGGCACTCACCATCGTATTTTGCAATTTCATCATCTGTGTCATCCTTCTTGGCCTTGGAAAGAACCCATCTGAAATGATATCCCCAGCAGAGGTAAGGGACAGACATACAGTTACAGACTTCTATACAAAGCCAGCTCTAAAGAAATACCCAGCCCCTGCAAGAGCTACCCTTTAACTAGACCCTACTGTATTCTGAACCCCATCATTGGTCTGTCTCTTTGGGAGTTCTGCCCTGAGTTCTCCAACACATGAAGCAAATTCAGAAGTAGGCATCAAAGCAGCTTTGTACCGGTGATCCTATTATCAGTATTCCACTAGGGATAGTGCTTGTAGCTCCATTATCTCTATCTTGTCATATTACCAAGAAAGGCTACTGAAAGCCAGTTTACGTGATTCTCGATGTGCACATGGTACCCTCTTAATGAGCACCTAACAGAAATGCTTATTTGAACATCCTCCAAAGTTTCAAGAGATATGAAGGTTAGGAGAAATGTATAGTAAGGTGGTTATATATGGGGTCATTTGAACTCTAATCATATTAACAGGTTTCAGAGTAGCAGCCATGTTAGTCTGCATTCGCAAAAAGAAAAGGAGGACTTGTGGCACCTTAGAGACTAACCAATTTATTTGAGCATAAGCTTTCGTGAGCTACAGCTCACTTCATCGGATGCATCCGATGAAGTGAGCTGTAGCTCACGAAAGCTTATGCTCAAATAAATTGGTTAGTCCCTAAGGTGCCACAAGTACTCCTTTTCTTTAATCATATTAACATTAGCTATTCAAGAATGGTTACTCTGGAAATGTTGTATTTTATTACACCTTATTGAAGGTCCAAACTGACTAATTCATTTACATTATTAAATCATCTTGAGGATCGCACTTACCCTTCCAGGGTTCCCTTATCAAAGTTTTCCACAAAATAAACCTCTCCTGTTGGAACTGCGGGCTTGTAGGTAACCTATTGGAGGAGGAGAAGAAAAAAGTCTACACAGACCTTTAAACATCTTTGCTGCCCTAGGAAATTAGAAGGCTTTGAGTTCATCCCACTTTTCCTGACTCAGACAAGTTTTCTGCCTGAAGCATCTTAAGTTATTGACACTCCCCAAAATCTGGATGCCATTGCTTGAAAGTTATAATTTTATTTTGAAGATAAAAATACCGAAGTCTAAGAGTACTAGCACTGCAAAATCCTGGTATCTCATCGCAAGATTCAAATGTCCTTAAAGAAATTTTCCTATGGAAGAAATGCAGCTCAAGTTTCATTGCAATGCTTCTTTAAAATGAATGCAGTCACTCTGTTGGCATATTGAGTTTTTATGCTCAAGATAGCCTCCAGATCAGACCAAGACGGGACAGGTTACAATAACCAGACTACCCAAGTGTAATTCTGTTTTATCATTGTAAATTTAAGTCAAACCTTTGGGGATGGAGGAGGGCTGCTGGCTTCCGGCTTTGACTCTTCTACCTCCTCAACACCATCTTCCAGGTCATCCTCAATATCAATTACATCACCACCATGGTCATCTTCCCCATCATGTGTGTGGACATCAACTAACCCAAGTATCAGCAATGTCACACACAGCAGCCACTTTAGTTCCATGGTCTGTACACACAGAAAAGATCAAGCATTATAACCCTATACCCACTACCAAGATAAAGGGCACGGTCTTCTGTAGTTTAGTGACAAGTACCCAATAGCAAATGAGCAAGTGCAGTCCAGAAGAGATCACTTCATGTTATGTTTCTCAACTCTCTGTACTTTGTAAGCCTATTAACTTTCTTTCTCGGTACACTTTATGTTGCTTTTCTTAGTCCTGTGCATATCTTGTTCTGTACATGGCTTGCACCAGTGTTAATGAGACCAAACATCTGGAGTATACTGTATGAAATGCTACAGAAGCATCAATTGCTATACAGGGATTACACATACTCTTCTACAGCATGAAAATAGGAGCCATAGACACCTGCCTGTGTTTACTGGCATGCTTATCTGCTCCGGGACAAAGCAAGGCATTAATGTGGAATGTTGCTTGATGTGAGTGTGAGAGAGAGAGGAGGGGGGAGAGGGGGTCTAAACTTACAAGATAGCATGCTGACACAGTCTCAGCACCCCAAAAACCCACTCCCCCTACATACACACAACACACTCCCTGTCACACTCCACCCCACCCCCAATTTTTGAAAAGCATGTTGCAACCATCTGAACTCTGGGATAGCTACCACAATGCACTGCTCTTTGTGGCATTGCAAGAGCTGCTAATGAGGCCACACCAGTGCGCTTCCAGCTGAGACTGTAAACACTCGGCAGCATTTTCCCTGAAGGCTGGTTTAACTCCCAGCGCTCTACATCTTCAAGTGTAGCCATGTCCTAAGAGTGATGCAGGCCTTGATCAACTGGCCAGGCACAGTACATGCAGGATCACTCTTGAAAAAGATACTTTCTTTCTCTAGGATGAAGCACTATGGACTGCTCTGCAGCTCAGTTCTCATAGGCAGTTACATGTTTTAACTACTGCTTATACCATCACCTACCAGGGTGGTTAAAAAGATCTAATTTATTTTTTAAAAAGTACAGATTTTCTTTTTGAATCAATTTTTTAAATAGATTTAAGTTGTGACAACCTATGTTAAGGCCTAAATTTACTATAACAGTTTAGTGACAAACAAAAATAAAATTATTAAGCAGTACATGTTCACTAACAAGTTTTAAAATAAAGTCAAATGAATGAACTGGTGGAAGTCACTGGCTAAACATGTGGAACCAAAATTTGAAGTACTAAGCCAACTTTTGACTCCAGTAGCCTCTTCTGCAGGTGCATAGAATTTTTTTTCTTTTCACGTACTCAACTAGTTCAATTCAATGACTTGCCGATTCAAAATTAAGAAATCAATTAGGAGTTTAAAAAACAGAAAAAACTGTTTTCCTCTCCAATATATGAATAAAAACTAATCATAAGAGGATGAGATCTACTAGTTCTAAAAATCTTGAATGACATGGTGACCAGAAACAAATCAGTTAGTGAGTTTAACTACATACGCTTCCTTAGTTTGAATTTTTTTAAAAAAGTGTGTTTTGGTAAGCTTTTCTTTCCTATGTATCAAGTATATTTAATAAAAGCATTTTAAAGTGCTGTTTTGTGCATAATTGAATTTTAATTTCCATCACAAGTAGAAATATTAATCTAGTAAATAAGTTCATCCACCATTTCCAAACAAATAATGTAAATATTAACATATTAAGTGAGACAAGGTGGTTAAGGTAAAATCTTTTATTGGACCAACTTCTGTTGGTGAAAGAGACAAGCTCTCCAGCTTTCAAAGCTCGTCTTCAATTCAACATACCCCTTGAAGGCCTGAAGAAGAGCTCTGTGTCAGCTCAAAAACTTGTGTCTCTCACCAACAAAAGTCAGTCCAATAAAAGATATCACCTTAACCACCTTGAGTCTCTAATATCCTGGGACCAACATGGCTACAAGTACACTGCATACACAACGTAATTGCTTAACTACAGATATAGTGTTTTTCCCCAGTTAGCAAAAAGGAAGCACCAAGTTAGTGTAAAGGCTATATATTTAGTTACAAATCAACATGGTAACCATTAAAATCCATAATGAGAATCAACCTCTTTAGGAAAACAAAGTAGTACAAATACAAAGCAAATTTAAAAAAAAAATTAAATCAAGTTTTCTGCTTCCTGATTTAAGTCAATTAAAATTAGTGATTTAAAAATCAATCCACCCACCATCAGAAAGCTTGTGAAGGCCACTGTCCCTCATCTGAAGACCCTGATTTCTGTCCCTGCTCCCCTCTACCCCATATTTTGTTCCTCCACTCTATATTAAAATGGTCAATTGATGCTGCCAACAGAGGCCTAGACATGGCTGTGTGCTGATGCAAGCTCACCAGATATACTCAGCCACTTGAGTCCCATTAAAGAGTAGTTTCAATTCCCACCCCCCACAAAAGAGTAATAAGAAAAATAATCCAGAATCCAAAGACTCATGATACTGTAACCGTTTTTAGATAGCTCATTAAAGTTTATGCTCTGAAGTAACCAGAGCATAAGGTGATGACCAATGTTTGCTAGACTCTCAGAGCTGTAGTTCAAAGGATATTACTCACTGAGAAGGATATTTTGGGGTGTTGCAAGTATTGTTTTACTTCTTGAACAGAAGAAACAGAGATGGAGAATGTGCAGTTCCCAAATAAGTAGACTGACACAGGGAGCTGACAGCAAATCCCTGACAACCCTATATTGTTATCCACCCCTACCGATTACTATGGTGCCTAAGTGCAAAGCAGAAAAGTACAGTATTCCTTTTAGGTAGCCTTACTACATTGTGTTTTTACTAGGTGTTCTCTAGATAAAGATTCCAACTTCAAGATCATGAATCCCACCTTATCCTCCAGTCTCCCCCCAAAAAACTTGTAATTTTCTGCTGCTCACGTACAAAAGTATCTCCCACAGACAGACAGTATTGTTTCTTTGAATCAAGGACACGAAATGTCTCCCTCCATGGAAGGATACCACTATTTAAAAAAAAAAAACAAAAAAAAACTATGTTTATATAAAGTTGACAGATCATTCTGAGGACAGATACAAGGCAGATGAACATCTTGCATTGCCATCATCATCTGCAGGTATTCCATTACAGGAACAGTAGAGTTTGAGCCTAAAATGCATTCCTATGCACAAGTACAGCAATTTAAACATTGCTTTTTAAAAAAATCCCGTCCCTCCTCCCTCAACAAAAATCTCAACACTTGAATCAGTGCAGAAAGCTAAACCAGTTACTTGAACAAGTCTGCAAACCTATATCAATGAATCTGTTGGGTTGCAAAAACCCAAGACAAAAAGCAAATCAAGAGACTCTGCAGTTCCAAATAAGACAGTACTGTAGCACTGCCAGCAATTTTGTAGGTCATCATTGCCACACCACAAAAGATTCAAATGACAAGTTTCAGCATAATGTCATTTGTTGATTGCTCATACAATATCTCTGTCACACTGTGCACTTGTTTACTTACAGTAAGTTATGTCTCAGCTTCCTTCTAAAATTGAGCTGCAACTGCAAGGCCAAAGAGACCACAATTAAGTTCTCCTAATAATTTGTTGTTACATATTGAAAATTCTTATATGTGGGCAATTTGACAGTATGCTTGTAAACAATGTTATCTGGTGCACATATATGCTTTTGAGAACAAAATGTTGCAACTTTCTAAAGAAACAAGTCTTGAGAACGTCAAGTCTTTCAAGGGGGAAAGCTAAAGTTCAGATTTTACTATCATACGCAACATCTAGAGAGTCTGATTAGAAAAAAATAGAATAGAATCTTTAAACAAAAAGGGAAGCTTTAAGACTATAGCAACGTTGTATTTTTACAGTCCTACGCTAAATCCATCTTCAGCTTGTATTATATGCTTTCTACCTATGGCAACATCCCAACCAGACAGTTGCTGCACCAAGCAGCTCTGTGTTAAACAGGTCTCAGTTCATCCAACAACTAAAAGGGAGAAGACATTACACATCACTACGCAACAGCTATATATATTTTGCACTATGCATAAACCACATTCAGAATCTCAGAGCGGTCATTGACCTCACAGGGCAGGGGTAGTCAGTAGGTGGACTGCAGGCCAGCTCAGACCACCAGACTCTTTAAGAGACCCTGAAATCTATTTACTTATTATTATGGGGTTGTTTTTATTTCTTCTCTGGAGTCTGGACCCCGACTACCTTGACTAAGAAATCTGGACCTTGGCAAAAAATAATTGACTACCCGTCATACAGTATGCCTACACTGTAATTAAACACCCATGCTAGCCTGTGTCTGCTGACTGGTTTGTGGGGCTAAGGCTATGGGGCTGTTTAATTGCAGTACAGATGTTCAGGCTCCAGCTGGAGCCTGGTCTCTGGGACCCTGCAAGGGTATTACTAGGGTTGGGGCACAACCTGAGTCAAGTGTCTGTCTTGTGACTGAAGAACCACAATATGAAATCAAAGGAACAGAGTTTATAAATCCACAACCACAAAGCAAACATTGCTATCCTTAAAAGCTCAAGCTCTTTTTTTGGTAAGCAATTTGGTCTCTGTGCTAGCTCACTGGCCACTGTTGGAAGTGAGTGCCCCACAGGATTTTACAAAGGATACTGCCCAGTGGAGAAGCAAGAGCCTCCAACATTTCATTTGGAATGTTAGCCTGAACATCACCAGGTGACTAGAGAGTTTACAGGGAAATGCTTCACCAATCAGATCAAGAGTTACTAGGGGTCAAATTCTGCCTTACCAATTCCTCTGTGCTATGCCATTTAAAATTAATGCATTTGTCTGAGGTATAAGTCAGGCCAGATTTTAGCTCTCAAGTTTCCACCTCAGGTATAATCATTCCAATTTCAACATTTCCAGAGTTGAATTATGATGAAGTCCCAACTTAAAAGATGCCCAATTTAAAAAGGTATGTGGCTGTCAAGCACAAGACTGCCTACCTGTTTTGGGAAAGGTCGTGGTTATTCTTTATACTTCCCTCCCGATCACCACCAACCAGCAGCTCCCGGTTGGTGTAGTGTGGCTGCCGCTAAGACAGGCTCCCTGCCTACCTCAGT